CTCCAACAGCTCCATGCCTCTCCTGTGCTGAGGACCCAGAGCTGGAGGCAACACTGGGTGGGGGGGGTGTCTCCCCAGAGCAGAGCAGAGGGGCAGAATCTCCCCCCTGGCCCTGCTGGCCACTACTTCTGGGGATGCAGCCCAGGGGGCGGGGGGCTTTCTGGGCTGCCAGCGCATGCTGCCGGATCCTTTTGACCTTCATCAACTATGATGAGAAACTTCTCATCAACTAATGAATATCAACTATACAAAAAAACCCACCTTATCGGAATAAGGTGCAGGAGAAGATTTTTGAAGCTAAAGCAAAAAAGTAAGAGAATGAAAATACATACAGGATGGAAATGGCTGGTTTTAATCTTTAATTTTTCTGCTCTCTCCACTAAATATATACGACATTGGCCATGAATGAAAAATACTACTCAAAATGATCAACACGGGAAAATATAATAAGATGGAATGTATTACAAGATTTGAAGGAAACAGAAAATAAGGAATATGGCAGTGGAGCAGAAAAACTTCTATATTATGAAGAGGTATAAAGTGAGGTGAATCCTCAACAAAATTTAGAATGAATAAAAGATTAAAAAACAACCTCCTCAAATTTGATGCATAAAAGATTTATTGGAAAACCAAGTTGAATAAATGGAAATATACAAAACAAAATAGAGGAAGACAAGAGGAAAGACAAACAATGAAGAAATGAAGCTAGAAATCTGTACATGTACAGCTGTCAATATGAAAATTCAACAACAGCTAAAAAGAATATTTTATAAAATGTTCACAATGTAAAAAAATAAAGGAGTGGAAGAACCCTGAACACGCAAGACCTGTGAAATATAATAGAAAAGCATAATAGTGAACAGAAGACTGAAAATGGAGTAAAAGTAAAAGATTAAGAACAGCAAAAGAGATGTGTTAAGGAAAATATCAATGGTAGCAACATTTTGGATGACTAGCTGGTTCTAGGATTGTCGACTCCAGACACATACAGAGTGTCGGGGACTGGGTCTAGCAGGGCCCACAGGTGTCCCAGGTGACTAGCTGGTTCTAGGATTGTCAACTCCAGACACATACAGAGTGTCTCGGGATGGGTCTAGCAGGGTCCACAGGTGTCCCAGAGCTTCTTGCTGTAGCGGGGCAAGACACAAGGGCTGCAGGCAGGAGCAGCGTAGGCTCTGCCAAAGGTGCAGAGGCCCCCTGAGCCCTGGGTGGCACCGGCACCATAGAGGCCCCCCAGACCCAGGTTGCCCCCAAAGGCCGGTGCTCCAGAGGAGCCCACCACGGCTTGCTGGGGGAAGGAGCTGAGGATGGGGCCGGGGAAGGTGACCACGACGGGAGGTGGCTGGATGAAGGCCGTGGAGTCGGGGCACTGGCGGGTGCACAGGTCGTTGCAGCTCTCAGCAATGGGCTGAGGGACGGCCACGCTGGTCTTTGGTGGGCACAGGTCGTAGCAAGACATCTTTGTGTGAGAGAGCTGAGCCTGAAAGACAAAGACAGAAGGAAAAGTGTCATGAGTGAGAGGAGATGCCCCATTTGAGCAGTGCCCTGTTCCCAGAACTGCCCTGGAGATTCAGGGGCCTGAGCCATAACGTTACCTGCACCATCCATCGCTTGCCCTTTGCCCAGCCAGCCCTAGATTCAGGGGCCTGAGCCACAACATTGCCTGCACCGTCCATCGCTTGCCCTTTGCCCAGCCAGCCCTACTCAGTGCCCTGCTCCCCACCCTGCCTCTTGCACTCTCTCTGTGCACAGAGGCCACACAAGCCCTCCCCAAGAGACTTTGCAGGGCCTGGCTCTGGGACCTGCGGCCACGGGGGTCCTTCCTCATCTCACCACAGCTCATCCCACCCTGCCTGTCCAAGGCTGCTGCCAGCACGGCCGCTGCTGTCAGAGCTCTCCTGGCCAAGGATGTCCCACTCCCTGCCACAGGAGACACAGACCCACAGGCAACCCCACACCAGCCCCTGCCACAAGAGGTTCAGACCCACAGGCACCCACCTACCTGTTTCCAGAGCAGAGCGAGGCAGGAGCAGTGGATGCCAGTGCTCAGTGAGGCCACTGCTTTTATGCTGGTCCAGGGAGCGTGGGGAGGAGCTGGACGCACTGGGGGCACGTGGCCCACGCCAGCCAAGCCCCTGCCTCCTCCCTGGGTGACACGGGGTTGTGTAAGAGGGCATGCAGCGTGACAAAGCCTGACTTCAAGTGTCCTGCGTGCCATAGCTCTTCACCAAGGGCTTCGTCTTGGGGTGGACCCAGGCCTTCTTTGCAGAGATACAGGAAAGTCCAGGGTTGTCCTGCATGCCATAGCTCTTCACCAAGGGCTTGGTCCTGGGCTAGACCCAGGCCTTTTTTGCAGAGATACAGGAAAGTCCAGGGTCATGACGCTGGCCAAAAAAAGGATGACATACGTTTTGTGGCTGTCATCTTCCGAGGTATGAGGTTAGGAAATGACAAATGACGTGCATTCCTCTTGGGCACTGCCTGCTCAGCACGTTGTATTATCTGCCTGTCCAACAGAGCCAGTTTCCATGTGCCTTTGACGTTGTACATTGATCTGTGCAGGTCTGGACGATGACGCTGGCCAAAAAAAGATGACATACGTTTTGTGGCTGTTATCTTCCGAGGTATGAGGTTAGGAAATGACAAATGACGTGCATTCCTCTTGGGCACTGCCTGCTCAGCACGTTGTATTATCTGCCTGTCCAACAGAGCCAGTTTCCATGTGCCTTTGACGTTGTACATTGATCTGTGCAGGTCTGGATGAAAAAGAAACCTCATGCACTTCCTAGAGGTGCATAATGCAAAGAGCAGAGACTCCCACATGGGGACATGTCGCACAGGCTAGTGCGATTCCCTCAAACGAGTTCTGTGACCCCCATTTCCTGGGAAATGATTCTGATCAGGGGTTTCCATTCAGGTGCTGGGGATATTGCGTCTCCATCTGGTGATAAAACAGCAGCAATTCCAGCAAGGGGATGCCTGCTCTAATTTAGCCCAGAAAGCAGAAAGGGGAGGAAAGGTTGTGAAGTGGGATATACTGGTTTGGGGAAGGGGATGCTGACTCAGGGAGGGGCAGGAGAAGGTCAGCACCATCTTCCTCAGCAGGAGGGAGTGTCGCCTCTGCAGATTGGTCCAGGTGGTGCTGAGCAAGGCCTGGGAGAATATAAAAGCTCTGCCTGTGCCAGGCTCTCCCAACCACTGCTCTGCCTGCCTTCTCCTTCAGGAACAGGGTAAGTCGGAGACTGTCTCACCTCCTTGTCCCTTTCTCCAGCCCCAGCTCATCTGCCTTGGGTGCTCCCCTCTGCTACTTACTTACCATCTCTGTCTTCTTGCAGAGCACCATCCAATCCCACACAAAGATGTCTTGCTACGACCTGTGCCCACCAAAGACCAGCGTGGCCGTCCCTCAGCCCATTGCTGAGAGCTGCAACGACCTGTGCACCCGCCAGTGCCCCGACTCCACGGCCTTCATCCAGCCACCCCCTGTCATGGTCACCTTCCCCGGCCCCATCCTCAGCTCCTTCCCCCAGCAAGCCGTGGTGGGCTCCTCTGGAGCACCGGCCTTTGGGGGCAACCTGGGTCTGGGGGGCCTCTATGGTGCCGGTGCCACCCAGGGCTCAGGGGGCCTCTGCACCTTTGGCAGAGCCTACGCTGCTCCTGCCTGCAGCCCTTGTGTCTTGCCCCGCTACAGCAAGAAGCTCTGGGACACCTGTGGGCCCTGCTAGACCCACACCACACACAGGCGCTGCCCTCAGACCACCTGCCAATGTCACCAGCACCCATGCAGGGCTGAGTGTGTGGGCACAGGATACCCAGCAGTGCTGAGCTGCTCCAGTCAAGGCCTGGGCATTTGGCAGTGCTGCACACTCTTGGCCCTTCCCTGCCCTCTTCCCCTGCCCTCTGCTCTCCTCCCTTGCACTCTCCTCCCCACTCGGGGATGGGGAAGAGCTGGACCCAAAAGGCTGTGTGGGGCTGATTGGCTCAGTCCTCCGCATCTGTAAAGCTGCACCAAGGGGGCATGTGGAGTGAGAAGCCATGCTCTGGAGAAGATCCCTCTGCCTCCCTTTTGACCTTGCATCGGTCATCTCTGGGTCTTGCCCACAATCTCTCTGATAATTTCTCCTGCCTCTCTGGACACAATAAAGGTTTTCTGCATGCAAGTCATGTCTCCTTCCTTCCTTGTCCCAAACTGGGAAGACCCTGGGTTGTAGGGACCAGCATTTCTATGAGGGCAAAGGCTGGTTCTGATCTTCTCAGACTGGGTGAGGGTGGGCAGTTTTGGGAGAGGGTGGATGGAGTCAGAAAGGGGAGGGAGAGCGAGGCTTTTGTTGGAGCTTAAAGGAGGTGGGGAAAGGGCAGGAGAGGGGCTGGCAGTGCTTCCTTGCCTGGCTTTCTTGGCCCAGGAATGACACCAACTCTACCAAGTGCCTCTGCTCTGCAGAAGCATGGCAGCATCTCTGGGTGTCTGCGCAGAGGAAGCTGGACCAGAGCCAGCGTTCAAGCCAGGACATGGGAAATGGCTGTGGATTGCTGGAGAGCTGTGTGCCAGGAAAGGCCCTGGGATGCTGGGTGACACTGAGTTGAGCATGAGTTGGCAAGGTGGATTGTGGCCAAGGCAGCCAGTGGTTCTCTGAGCTACATGGAGAAGAGTGGTTGCTGGGAGGTGAAGGGTGAGTTCCTTGTCCTCTGCTCACCTCTGTGGTGCTGTGTCCAGGGATGGGCTCCCCAGCACAGCAGAGATGTGGGGCTACTGGAGAGAGTTCAGCAAAGGACCACACGGATGATGAGGGCACAGGGAGCTTGTCTCCTCTGGGGACGTCCTGAGAGAGCTTGGACTGTTTCAGGTGCAGTGGAGCCTCCAGTTGGGATCTCATCATGTGCACACAGGACTGAAGGAAAGGTTTTTAGAAGATGGAGCCAGGCTCTTTGCAGAGGTGTCCGGTGCCTTGACAAGAAGCAACAGGCAGCAGCTGAAACACCGGAGGCTCCGCCTCAATATCTCAACTCACTGTTTTCACAGTGAGGGTGACCAAGCACTGGCACACGTTGTCCTGGGAGTTTGTGGAGTCTCCATCCTTGGAGACATGCAAAAGTCGTCTGGACGTGTTGCTGCGCAGCTGGCTCTGGGTGGCCCTGGAGGAGGGGGCAGCACCAAAGCCTGTCCTGCAAGGTCTTCTGCCACAATAATCAGGGTAGGTTCTGTGAGATTTTGTGTCTGCTGCACAGAACGGAGGAGCATCAGGTGTGTTTGTGCTGAAGAAGGGCAGGAAATGAAGCAGTGGAAAGGATAAGGGAAATTGAAGGAGAATACAGATGGCAGGAGTTAGGGGAAGGGAGAAAGGAACAGAAATGAAGGAGAAGTAGGACAAGAAAATGAATAGAAGATGAATGGGAATGAGGAGAAGCAGAATGGGAATGAGGAGAAGATGAAAGGTAAAAGGAAGGAGTTTTAGCAGAAAAGTCAGACAAGAAGGAAAAGGCTAAGGTAAAGATCAGCAGAGAGAGAAAGAAGTAGAAGAGAATGAATGATGGAAAAGTGAAGGGGATATGGAAGAAGAGGAAGAGTCTTTCTGTCCCAGGGAAAGAGATGAACACCAGAAACACAAAGGGGCTGGAGCCGCAGCAGGAATTGCTTCTGGCGTGCTCCCAGCCCCGGCCAGATGTGATCATGCCCAGGAAGGCTGAAGATCTGCAAACACCCCAGGGCTGCATGTCCTGCAGGAGGGTGAGGGAACCCTGCAGCCTCCACTGGCCTTGGGAAGAAAAAAACAGAGGCAGGGGTAGGATGAAGGTTTGTTTTATTGACTGGAAAAAGACACATGAGACAGAGTCAGGCAAGCTGACCCCCTCCCACCCATCCCGGCCAGGCTCCAGGAGAGGTGTTCCTTCAGGCTTCTACTGGACAGTAGTCATAGGAGAGACAAGAAAGTGCCCTGTGGGATGATGGTGGAGTTCAGCATCTGGGCACGGGTCGGAGCAGAGCAAATACACGGCATGTAGAGAGTAGGAGGAGGGGATAAAGAAGAGGAAGAGTGAGGCTGAACTGTTGCATGGGCTGTGGGTTGTGTGGGTCTGGATCTAGCAGGACCCACAGGTGTTCCAGCACAAGGGCTGCAGGCAGGAGCAGCGTAGGCTCTGCCAAAGGTGCAGAGGCCCCCCGAGCCCTGGGTGGCACCGGCACCATAGAGGCCCCCCAGACCCAGGTTGCCCCCAAAGGCCGGTGCTCCAGAGGAGCCCACCACGGCTTGCTGGGGGAAGGAGCTGAGGATGGGGCCGGGGAAGGTGACCATGACGGGGGGTGGCTGGATGAAGGCCGTGGAGTCGGGGCACTGGCGGGTGCACAGGTCGTTGCAGCTCTCAGCGATGGGCTGAGGGACGGCCACGCTGGTCTTTGGTGGGCACAGGTCGTAGCAAGACATCTTTGTGTGAGAGAGCTGAGCCTGAAAGACAGGGACACAAAAAAACTGTCATGAGAGAGGAGGACATTACCCATTGAAGCAGTGTCCTGTTCCCAGAGGTGCCACCCACCTACCCTTTTCCTGAGCAGAGCGAGGCAGGAGCAGTGGATGCCAGTGCTCAGCGAGGCCACTGCTTTTATGCTGGTCCAGGGAGCGTGGGGAGGAGCTGGACGCACTGGGGGCACGTGACCCACGCCAGCCAAGCCCCTGCCTCCTCCCTGGGTGACACGGGGCTCTTTTGCTGATGCTGTTTCCTCACCAGCCCCAACCCGTTCTATCAGCCCCTCCAATTACCCTGCTCGGACACTTGCCAGCTGCCACCTCATGGGCCAAATGAGCCCCGCTCTCTTCTCATTATCTGGCTGTGTAAGAGGGCACGCAGCGTGACAAAGGCTGACTGCAAGCATCCTGCGTGCCATAGCTCTTCACCAAGGGCTTGGTCTTGAGACAGACCCAGGCCTTCTTTGCAGATCCATAGAGAAGTCCAGGATCATGGAACTGGCCATGAATGTGGCTTTGCCAAGGCCTCCCACATGCCATTGCCCGCATGACATACATTTTGTGGCTATTATCTATTGAGGGGTTGGATTAGGAAATACCAAATCAAAGGCACTCCTCTGGAGCACTGCCTACTCAGCACAATGCATCACTCGCCAGTCCAACAGAGACGGCCTCCATGGACATGCAGGGGTTAGCCATCGACCTCTGCAAGTCTGGGGGAAAGAGACTCCTCCTCTTTCCCGAGGTGCCTGGTGCAATGAGCACAGAGCCTCAACAGGGACACGTGGCACAGCCTAATGTAAAACCACTCACAAACATCTCAGGAGCCCCATTGCTGGGGGAGGATGCTAGTCAGGGGGTTCCCTTCAGTGCTGATGACGTGGGAGCTCAGTCTAGTGGCATGAAAGCAGCAACACCAGCAGGGTGGTGCCCACTCTCATTTGGCCCATGAAGCAGAAAGGGGAGCAAAAGCTGGGAAGCGGGATGTGCTGGTCTGGGGAGGGGATGCTGACTCAAGGAGGGGCAGGAGAAGGACAGCCCCATCTTCCTTAGCAGGAGGGAGTGTCACCTCTGCAGATTGGCCCAGGTGGTGCTGAGCAAGGGCTGGGACAGTATAAAAGCTCTCCCTCTGCCAGGCTCTCCCGACCACTGCTCTGCCTGCCTTCTCCTTCAGGAACAGGGTAAGTCGGAGACTGTCTCACCTCCTTGCCCCTTTCTTCAGCCCTGGCTTCTCTGCCTCAGACACTCCCCTCTGGTGTTATCTTGTCATCTCTCCCCTCTTGCAGAGCACCATCTGATCCTGCACAAAGATGTCTTGCTACGACCTGTGCCCACCAAAGACCAGCGTGGCCGTCCCTCAGCCCATCGCTGAGAGCTGCAACGACCTGTGCACCCGCCAGTGCCCCGACTCCACGGCCTTCATCCAGCCACCCCCCGTCATGGTCACCTTCCCCGGACCCATCCTCAGCTCCTTCCCCCAGCAAGCCGTGGTGGGCTCCTCTGGAGCACCTGCCTTTGGGGGCAACCTGGGTCTGGGGGGCCTCTATGGTGCCGGTGCCACCCAGGGCTCGGGGGGCCTCTGCACCTTTGGCAGAGCCTACGCTGCTCCTGCCTGCAGCCCTTGTGTCTTGCCCCGCTCCAGCAAGAAGCTCTGGGACACCTGTGGGCCCTGCTAGACCCAGCCCCACACACCCCACAGTCCATGGGACAAGTCAGTCTCACACCTCTTCTTCTTTCTGCCCTCCTGCCCCTCTTTCCATGAAATGTCTTTGCCTTGCTCAAGCCTGTGCCCAGATGTTGAACTCCACCATCATCCCATAACACACTTGCTTGTCTCTGCAAAGACCACTGCCTGGCAGAAGCCTGAAGGAACACCTCTCCGGAACATAGGCGAGGCAGCCTGCCTGCCTCTGTCTCATGTGTCTTTCTCCACTCAATAAAACAAAACTGCATTGAACCTCTGCCTCTGCCTCTTCCCTCTCAAGGCTCCATGGGGGCTGCAGGGCTCCCTCTCTGAGGCTATCATCCCTGCAGTGCTGTGGCCAGTGCTGGGCTGCCCAGCCCAAAACTGATGTGAGTCTACTGGTGAGAGAGCAGCAAAGGGCCAAGCACATGGAGTCTGTCTCCTGTTGGGAGAGCCTGAGAGAGATGGGACTTCTCCTCTTGTAGCTGAGGAGGCTCAAGGGGGTCTCAAGGTGCACACATGCCGGAAGAAAAGGCATTAAAATATGGAGCCAGGCTCTTTCCTGTGGTGTGCAGTGCCAGGACAAGAGGCAATGGGCACCAGCTGCAGTACCTGAGGCTCCATCTCAACACCTCAAACCACTGTTTTCACTGGGAGAGTGACAAAGCAGTGGCACAGGTTGTCCTAGGAGGCTGTGGAGTCTCCATCCTTGGAGACATGCAGAAGCCGACTGGACATGATGTTGGGCAGCTGGCTCTGGGTGACACTGTCTGAGTTGGCAGTGTGACAAGCTGCCCTGTAAAGGCTCCGGTGACAATATTCAAGCAGTGATTTCTATGATTTTGTGTCTCCTGCGTAGTACGGAAAAGCTTTAAGTGTGTTGGTCTGTGCTGGGGGCCAGAAGAGAATGTGGAGCTTGAAGGCGTAAGAGGAGGTAAAGTAGAATCTGGAAGAGGTGAGTTTTGGGGAAGGGAGATGGGAAGAGAAAGGAAGGAGAAGTAGGAAGAGAAAAAGAAGGGAGGTTGAAGGGGAAGAAGGCAAAGATTCAAGGTAAGGGGAAGGAGCCTTAGGAGAACAGGGAAAGAGAAAGAAAAGGGTAAGGTAAAGAAGAGGGAGAAGCCCACCAGGGACAAGGAATGGAAAGAGGAGGAATGTTAAAAGGGAAGGGAATAGTGAAGAAGGGAAGATTTTATAATCCCAGAGCCTGAGCATAGCCACAGAGATACGAAGAGTCTGGAGATGCAGCAGGAATTGCAATAAGGTCTCCCCTCAGCCTCCTCTTCTCCAGGCTGAATAACCTCAGTTCCCTCAGCCTCTCCTCATATCTCATATCTCCAGACTCCAAGAGTCTGGAGATGCAGCACGAATTGCTCCTGCCTGGCTCCCAGCCCCTGGAGAAGCCAAATTCATGCACAGGGAGGCTGGACGGTCTTGAAACACCCCAGGGCTGCATGTCCTTCAAGAGGGGAGCAGCTTGTGGTCAGGCAGGACCTTTGAAGATCAGCTGAAGGAGCGTTTGTGGGCAGAGAAGGCAGGGCTGGGAGCTGTCCCCAAAGGCAGCTGGGCCTGTCTCTGCTGGGGCTCAGAGACTGCCCTGGGGTGGCTGGCAGGGTTGACTGGCAGGGCGAGGGAGCCCTGCAGCTCCCAGTGTGCATTGACAGAGAAAAGGCAGAGGCAGGGGTTGGATGCAGGCTTTTTTTATTGAGTGGAGAAAGACACAATAGGCAGAGGCAGGCAGGTTGACCCACCAGGCTTCAGGAGAGATGTTCCTTCAGGCTTCTGCCAGGCAGTAGTCATAGGAGAGACAAGAAAGTGCCCTGTGGGATGAAGGTGGAGTTGCGAATCTGGGCACGGGCCAGAGGAAGGCAAACACGTATCATACAGAGAGGAGCAGGAGGGGATAAAAAAGAGGAGGCATGAGGCTGAGTTGTCCCAAGGGCGGTGGGGTGTGTCGTGCTGGGTCTAGCAGGACCCACAGGTGTCCCAGAGCTTCTTGCTGTAGCGGGGCAAGACACAAGGGCTGCAGGCAGGAGCAGCGTAGGCTCTGCCAAAGGTGCAGAGGCCCCCCGAGCCCTGGGTGGCACCAGCACCATAGAGGCCCCCCAGACCCAGGTTGCCCCCAAAGGCTGGTGCTCCAGAGGAGCCCACCACAGCTTGCTGGGGGAAGGAGCTGAGGATGGGGCCAGGGAAGGTGACCATGACGGGGGGCGGCTGGATGAAGGCCGTGGAGTCGGGGCACTGGCGGGTGCACAGGTCGTTGCAGCTCTCAGCGATGGGCTGTGGGACGGCCACGCTGGTCTTTGGTGGGCACAGGTCGTAGCAAGACATCTTTGTGCGAGATCAGATGGTGCTCTGCAAGAGGGCAGAGATAGTAAGAGAGCAGCAGAGGGGAGCACCTGAGGCAGAGGAGCCAAGGCTGGAGAAAGGAGCAAGGAGGTGAGATAGTCTCTACTTACCCTGTTCCTGAAGGAGAAGGCAGGCAGAGCAGTGGTTGGGAGAGCCTGGCAGAGGCAGAGCTTTTATACTGTCCCAGCCCTTGCTCAGCACCACCTGGACCAATCTGCAGAGGCGACACTCCCTCCTGCTGAGGAAGATGGGGCTGTCCTTCTTCTTCCCCTCCTTGAGTCAGCATCCCCTCCCCAGACCAGCACATCCCGCTTCCCACTCTTTCCACCTCTTTTTGCTTTGTGAGCTAAATGAGAGGAGGCATCAACCTGGTCGCGGTGCTGCTGTGAAGGCATCAGATGCATATCCCCTATCCACAGCACCTGAAGGGAAGACTGTGACATGCATCATGTCCCAGCAATGGAACTCCAGGAACACTTGTGAGGGATTGTCACGAGCCTGTGACATGTCCCAATGTCCAGGTCTGTGCTCCTTAGACAATGCACCCTGGGGAAAAGCACAAAGGGTCTTTCTCCCACAGACTTGAAGAGGGCAACGGCCAACACCCCCAGGCACATAAAGGCTGGTTCTGTTGGACTGGTGAGGGATGCATCGTGCTGAGTAGGCAGTGCCCAAGAGGAGTGCCTTTCATTTGGCATTTCATAACCTCACACCTCAGCAGATAATAGCCACACAACGTATGTCATGCAGAAGGCCATCTTTTTGGCCAGCATCATGACCCCGGACTTCCCTGTATCTCTGCAAAGAAGGCCTGGGTCCACCCCAAGACATAGCCCTTGGCAAAGAGCTATGGCACGCAGGATGCTTGCAGTCAGCCTTTGTCACCCTGTGCACCCGCTTACACAGCCAGATAATGAGAAGAGAGTGGGGCTCATTTGGCCCATGAGGTGGCAGCTGGCAAGTGTCCGAGCAGGGTAATTGGAGGGGCTGATAGAACGGGTTGGGGCTGGTGAGGAAACAGCATCAGCAAAAGAGCCCCGTGTCACCCAGGGAGGAGGCAGGGGCTTGGCTGGCGTGGGCCACGTGCCCCCAGTGCGTCCAGCTCCTCCCCACGCTCCCTGGACCAGCATAAAAGCAGTGGCCTCACTGAGCACTGGCATCCACTGCTCCTGCCTCGCTCTGCTCAGGAAACAGGTAGGTGGGTGCCTGTGGGTCTGTGTCTCCTGTGGCAGAAGCTGGCGTGGGGCCTTCTTGGCCAGGAGAGCTCTGACAGCAGCGGCCGTGCTGGCAGCAGCCTTGGACAGGCAGGGTGGGATGAGAGGAGTTGGTAGAAGGAAGGAGCCCTGTGGCTGTGGCACAGAGAGCCAGGCCCTGCCCAGGCTCTTGGGGAGCACTTGTGTGGCCTCTGTGCGTGCAGAGAGGGAAAGGGGATGCGTGTGGAGAGCAGGGCCTGGAGTGGGGCTGGCTGGGCAAAGGGGAAGCAGTGGGCAGTGAGGACAAGGTGGTGTCTCTGGCCTCTCCAAGTCCAGGGCACCTCTGGGAAAAGTGTGATGTTTGGTTGGGATATCTATTCCTGCTCAAAATATGTTCTTTCTGCCCGTATCTTTCAGGCTCAGCTCTCTCTCACACAAAGATGTCTTGCTACGACCTGTGCCCACCAAAGACCAGCGTGGCCGTCCCTCAGCCCATCGCTGAGAGCTGCAACGACCTGTGCACCCGCCAGTGCCCCGACTCCACGGCCTTCATCCAGCCACCCCCTGTCGTGGTCACCTTCCCCGGCCCCATCCTCAGCTCCTTCCCCCAGCAAGCCGTGGTGGGCTCCTCTGGAGCACCTGCCTTTGAGAGCAACCTGGGTCTGGGGGGCCTCTATGGTGCCGGTGCCACCCAGGGCTCAGGGGGCCTCTGCACCTTTGGCAGAGCCTACGCTGCTCCTGCCTGCAGCCCTTGTGTCTTGCCCCGCTACAGCAAGAAGCTCTGGAACACCTGTGGGCCCTGCTAGATCCAGACACACACACAGCAGAGACCCTGAGACAACTCAGCCTCACTCTTCCTCTTCTTTATCCTCTCCTCCTACTCTCTACATACAACATATTTGCTTTGCCCAGATGTGCAACTCCATCATCTCACAGGGCATTTACTTGTCTCTGCAAGGACCACTGTCTGGTGGAAGCCTGAAGGAACACTTCTCCTGAAGCCTGGGGGGAAAACCTGCCTGCCTCAGCCTCATGTGTCTTTCTCCAGTCAATAAAACAAGGTTGCATCCAACCCTTGCCTCTGCCTTTTCTCTCCCAAGGCCCAGTGGGGCTGCAGGGCTGCCTCTCCAAGCCTGTGGTCCCCACCAGCCATGCCAGGGCACTCTCTCAGCCCCAACCGAGCCAGGCCTGGCTGTCCTTGGGGACAACCTTCACCCCTGCCAGCTTTGACCACACACACTCCTGCACCTGAGCTCCAAGGGTCCTGCCTGAACACAGGCAGCTCAACTTCTTCAGGACATGCAGCCCTGGGGTGTTTCCAGGCCTTCAGCCTCCCTGTACCTGAGCATGGCTGCCCCCGGGGCTGGAAGCCAGCCAGGAGCAATTCCTACTACAGCTCCAGCCCTCTTCTTTCTGAATGGCTCTGGGCAATCCCCAGGAGAAACAAAGCCTTCCCCTTCTTCTTCCTTATCCCCTTCCCTTTCTTATCCTTCTTCCTCTTTTCACTCCTTCCTCTCCCTGTTGTTCCTTACCTTACCCTTCTCCTTTCCTTTTCCCTGGACTCCCAAGGCTCCTTCCCTCTTCCCTTTAATCTTTGCCTTCTTCCCCTTTGTCATCCCTTCTTTTTCTCTCCCTACTTCTCCTTCCTTTCTCTCCCTCACCTGCCCCTTAAATCAACTCTTCCATGTGTTCCTTTAACCTTAGTGCTTTCAGCTCCACATTCTGTTCCCTCCTCCAGCAGAGACCAACACACCTGATGGTCCTCAGTTGGATGCAGAAGACTCAAAATCACAGCAATCCCAGGCTGATGCTTGTTGTGGCAGCTGCCTTTGCAGGGCATCTTGTCACACTGCTGACTCAAGTAGGGTCACCCAGCACAGGCTGCCCGGCACCATGCCCGTGTGACTTGTATATATCTTCAAGGAGTGAGACCCCAGAACCTCCAGGGACACCTGTGCAAGTGCTTGATCAGCCTCACAGGGAAAAAGAGTGGTTTTGAGTGCTGAGGTGGAGCCTCTTGTGTTTCAGCTGGTGCCCATTGCTTGGCTCCATCTTCTTAACACCTTACCTTCCTTCAGTCATGTGTGCCCCTTGATGAGAGCCCACCAGAGCCTCCTCAGCTACAAGACCAGCAGTTCCAGCTCTCTCAGGCTCTCCCCACAGAAGGCAGGCTCTCTGTGCCTTCATCACCTGCGTGTCCATTTGCTGGACTCTCTCCAGTAACCCCACATCTCTCCTGTGCTGGGGAGACCAGAACTGGACACAGCACGGCAGCTGTGGTCTGGCCAGTGCTGAGACAAGGGCCAAGATCCCCTCCATCCACCATGCAGGCCAGCACACAGATGCCTGCCTTGCTCACAATCAATTTGGCAGCTTATGCTCACCTCAGTGTCCACCAGCACCCCTAGGGCCTTCCTGGACACACAGCTCTCCAGCAATCCATGGCCATTTCCCAAGCACTGGCTTGAACTCTGTCTCTGGTCCAGCCTGCTCTGCGTGGACACCCAGAGATGCTGCTGTGCTTCTGCAGAGCAGCATGACCTGGCAGAGCTGGTGTCCCTGCTGGATTGAGAAGGCCAGGCAAGGAAGCACTGGCAGCCCCTCTCCTGCCCTCTGCCCTTTCCATACCTCCTGCAAGCCTCACTAAAAGGACTTCTAGCCCTTGCCTGCTCCCTGCAATTTCCCCTCTCCCAAAAAGGCCAAAACCTCACCCAGGCTGGAGATCCCAGGAGCAGAATAGTTACCCCTCCCATGGCTTTGGGACCAAACCCCCTGGTCCTCTGAACTTGGGGCAAGGAAGGAGGGAGACATATTTTGCATGCAGGAAAACTTTATTGTGCCCAGAGGGGCAGGAGAGATTGCCAGAGAGACCTTGGGCAAAACCCAAAGCAGCTGGATGCCACGTGTTCCAAGAGTCAGAGGGGTCTTCTCCAGAGCATGGCTTCTTCTACCGAAAGGACTCTTGGTGCAACATTCCATATCCGGAGGACTCAGGCAATCAGCCCCACACAGCCTTTTGGGTCCAGCTCATTCTCTGAGCAAGAGATGAGGGGAGAGGACAGGAGAGCAGAGGGCAGAGGAATAGGGAGGGAAGGGCCAAGGGTGTGCAGCACTGCCAGCTGCCCAGGCCTTGACTGG